TGTATGTAGAAGTCAAAAAGAATGCCAGCAACTAGCGAATGCTACGAAAATTAATACACACACACACATAGATATGTTTATTTATGCATACATACATATGTATGTATGTGCATGCGCACAAAACTCATGAATAAATAGCGTTCAAGGAGAATGCAGGAAAGTCACCTCGAAATACATTTTCTGCTATACAGCAAGGCAAATAACAACAACAATGAGGGCGGCAAAACAAAATACAAAAAAAAGAGAAAAGCCCCAATGAAGGCATCGAAAATATATACATATGTATACATGTATGTATGTGTTCAACTAAGTGAAGGCACAAAGGCGCACAGGCGCTGCCACAAACCTACCGCTGCCTGGTGAAGAGGACGAAGTGTTTATGCTGGTGAAAGTGGCGAACGAGATGAAGCAAAGAGAGGCGTGTGGGAGGCAAATTGGGGAGGTTTGTTGGTTTTTCGATTATTGCTATGCGGGCGGTTAATGGCGGTAAGCGCTATACATATTTATATACGGTATGCATACACTTGAATGTGTACAGAATTGTGCGAAAAGGAGGACATCGTATAAACTGAAAATGACGATGAATTTGTACGGAAAGATCGCAGGAAAAATGTATAGTTTCGTATGCTTTGCAAGGCAACAACGCGAACAAGCATGAGACAAGCGTCTGTCGAATCGCTAGCATATCAAATTTATCAGCAACGAAGCGGGCGAATCAAGAAATTAAAATTATACACTGTTCACATAATATAAACGGACAGTTGTAACTTTATTAACAAAATGTGTAACTTATATAGACCAGTTTAGGTTAGTAATTTCCACTAGGCAGATCAAATATTCAAACTACTGTTATTTGCTATTAATAATCTTCAATCTCCAATGATATCAAGAGCCCAGTGTTATATATATTATATGTATACTGTTCAGACATTTCCATCAGCTCAGATCTGTATATTTATGGTATATAGGTATATGCAATATTCACGAAAATACTATATAATAGAAAATAGGCTTGTTCGAATTTCTGATTAATTACTATCAATACTTTAATTTATGTTCATTTAATATTTCCCATTAGATAAACATTTGGGTGTATATAAAAATCTATTATTTGGCTAAGAGGCTAGTTAAAATTTTCTAATATGCGAGATAATAAAGTAATATCTTTATAATATTCGTTGCAATATATTTTTATACAATATATTTCTCTATATTTAAATTTAAGTTCAAAACCAAGATAGTACGAATAAATAATGCGCTCACTGTGCGAAACAGAAGGAGTGTATAACAGCAAGGCACTAATTTTTGGCATACATACTTACATATTATACATACGCATATATATACACACCCGTTCACATAATTAAGTGGCACGGGAGAGGATTTGCGCCCCATCACCGAAATGGGTGGTAATGGTAGTGAAGAGAAAAGCTTGTGTAGCTCTCTCGGCACGATCCTCGCTCGGTTTGCGAACGCGCCAGGCTATCGTTGTTCACTTTATTGCTTGCAATTCCTTATACGTGCTGCTCACTCGAGTAGTGACATGGTATCAGCAGTTCCAAAAGAAGGAAAGGCAAGTCAATAAAGATACAGTTAAGTGAGAAAAGCAAAAAAAAAAACGAATCGGTGTGGTGACTGGATATGCAATAAAGATCCGCGTTTTCTGTTTCTTCATCAGACGATTGTTTGAAGAGCAGGAAGCATTAAGTTGAGTGTGTGCACTTATGAAAATATACATGTATGCGAGTATGTGTGCTTAAGTGTGGATGTACTGCTGATATATTATATATACGGATTTTCAGCATTCACTCGAGTATCATTCAACAGGATGATGTCGATTGGGCGCTGAGGAAGTCAGAAAGTAGATGTAAATGCGAACAGCTGTGCCAGCAAGAGGAATTTCAAATAAACTTGGTGGACGTATGCGCGCGTATAAATATAGAAGATGTAGGCGCAGAATGCGTTGATTATGCGATACGTACATACATACATACAAAAGAAAAAATTAATGTGTTACATTGTTTGCTGTGCTCAGCTAGAGGATTGTCGATCGGTGTTAGTTGTTCGTCCGTTGTCTGCACGGATCTAGGTCATCGCTTAAAAATAAAAATATTTCATATGTAGGATTTTTAATGTACATATATGCATATGTATGTATACATATATAAAGCATATTTAAATTCTTTTGGGTAAATTGGTCACAAGTCCAATTCTATAAGGAGCCACAATATAATTGTTGTTGAGATTAAATTCATCTTTATTATTCAAATAAGGGAGTTAGTTTTGCTCTACTTAAAACGAATTTTTCTATAACACGATTTTGTCTAAGCCGAGAAAATTTTTACTTTTCACGGTAACTGCTCTGCGCTTCCCAAGAGCATCATATAAATATGAAGCTTGCTTACCTAACAGCACTACAAAAAGCTGATTTTAACACAAATGACAAAATATAAAAGGATTAGTGTTTAGTAAGTGGATTAGTTTAATTGTTAATAATAATATAAATATTTTTGTTTCACTTCAGATGAGGGGTTGAATAATCATCTTTATCGTATGAAATCCTAATATAGCTCACGTTACTGTTATTTATGTTAAACTTTCTTGAGTCACCCTCCAAGATACTCACCCAAAAACTTGTTTCGTATCAGCCAATAGGAAACCAAGGAATTCGGCAAATCAAGCACAACCACCCCGAAATGCCTTGAGTTATAAAGCAACAACGAAATATGGGAATTATAAGTATACAAACAATAAGAAGCTTCACATGCATATCTACGATTATGTTCGTGCTGGTGTGCTTTACAGTGCCAATCAAAACCAACCAACACGCGATTGCGCTGTAAGACCGGAACTCAGAACACATACGAGTACATATCTATACGTTTGTACTAAATTAATCACATACTTAGGTGGTGTATATCGTCACCTAAAATGCAAAACAACCTATGATCAAAAATTTCAAGATTAAATTTTTTATTCATTACTATTCACTACATATGTATGTATAGAATTTTAAGTTTCAGCTACCAGATCTAACCAAGTTATAACAAAAATCAAAATTTGTATTGTATCAACATGAGTACTTTCTTTTTGTATCGTTTTTCCTTCAGCTGTAAACTTATGAAAAGTGATGTTGACTTACTTTGCATTTTAGATAACGAAAATTACCCTGTGTGGCGCACATTTCATTGTCTGCTGGGAAATTCTTCCTAATATATTTTGCCAAAAATCATAATTAGGAAATGTTTCATGATTAGTCTTTGTACCGCATATAAAAAGATACGTACATATGTATATACTCATAACAACTTCCTATACACATATATACTTATGTAGATGCACCCTAAATTGTCTTTTCCAATTTAAAAAGTCGATTAGAACAAAATTCATTTTGTTTCGGTTAAAATTTTTTGATTGACACTTTTTTAATAATTAATTTGGCGAGTTGAGGAAAACTAAGTGATTTTTTCATATAAAAGGCAATTCATATGTTTTATAGAAGAACTCATTTTTTAACACTGGTGGTCTTAAAAACATCTTTTTCAATTTATGTACATATTGACCCTTGTTAAATAGGCTTAATCACCATAGCTTAGACAATGGTACGTTCAATAACGAAATTGTAACCTATTTTCTCGGATTTATTAAATGCTGTGTTAGGTTAAAGCATAAGAGTTGAAATTAAAAAAAAAACTATAAACTGAAAAATATGAAGTAAAATTTCATGAAAATTTAAGATGAATTTTTACTTCAGACATATGTATATTCCATACAAGAACTTGGTTTTGATCGGCCAGTTTGTATGTCACATGTTTGTATTAAAGCAACAACTACAAGTATTTTATAAGAGCTCGCCTTAAATGGCACATATACATTTACATATGTATGTATGTATAAATGCTCCCTATGGATTCGGGAAAGCTTATACTAGAACATATAAGATTTCTTTAATCAAATAGTTTTTACACATTTATAAATTTACGCAATACAATAATACAAAGCCTGAAAATATGTCAAAAGCAAAAAAAAAACGTTATAAATAAACAGGCATAGAACAGCAGTGGTAGAAGTCAGTAAATACTAGAAATATTAGAAATAGAAGCCTTGGGCACTGCAAAAGGCAGAAAGCATGAAGGAAGAACGCAATAAAAACAACAAACGAGTACGTTGTATGTTTGTACATATGGCTGGAAACATACATACATTTGTATGTGTGTATGAATACAAAAAGAAACAAACAGGTTGAACGAAAAAAACAGAACCCAGCCTTGTTGTCGATACGACTGCGCTGAAAGCGTCAAAGTTTTGCTATTGTTATTATTGCCTTTTTCTACGTGCATACATATGTATGTATGTATGGTATGTATGTTTGGTTGATTCAGCGAACGAATGCCACACCGACAGCCTGGCAGCGCCAGCCATGCAAGCGCACAAACACTCGTAGCCTAAGCACACACACACATGTGTTCGGATACCTTGTCGGTTATGATGGAAAAAAGCTCCAAAGCCATAGTTCAATACCAGAAATAGAAATGAAATTAGAAAAATATTTCCAACCATACATTTTAAGGTACATACATATATATGGATTTGTGCTAGTGTGTATGTACCTACATATGTGGCTTTCCTAAGAGCAGTTAGAAAAACAGGCGAAGCTGTCCAGCCAACCGAAGCGATGCTATGTGCTGCGGGCTGTACCCTCGGTAGTTGCGTAGATACCCTTTAGCCCCACCTAACCATATAAAGCATAGAATATGACAAAAAACTATAGCGATTACATACATAAAGACGTATACATATACGTACATATACTTGTATGTACACGTGAAATGAACATAGATACTAATTGAAAACAAGGCTGGAGCGAGGCGCTGCTCAAACGAACTTTGCCTTACACTGCGCCTACGTACAGATAGAAACATAGATACATATAACTAGTCGGTAGGTGTTTGTCCATAAGCGTGGATATGCCATATACATAAGTGTCTGTATGTGCTTACCCTCATTTATACATTGTTATTAGAATATTTGTATGTCTGTTCGCATCTCATATTTATATCCATATGTGGCCATCCGATATCCGTTCGCACACGAAAATTATCTGAAATGAAATCATTTTGTTATTTACTTTGACATTTGTGTGTAAATGTGTATGAAGAGTTAAGTTATTAGTAGTAATATTAACTTATTGAAGCTCTAGTTGTGGGTCCTTCAATTGCTGAAGTCACGTCTTGAAAAAACTCACTAAGAAAGCTTTTGAAAGGTTTTGTGAATTGATTGGGGTTGCCCGAGTTACGAACAAAACATGATCGAACAATCGAGAAATTGCAACAAATAAAAGTATGTACGTATGCATTTACATACATATATACAGATTTCTCTTTCAATTTTTGCAAATACTCTTTAAAGATTACCCCTGGTACAATACAAAATCAAAAATTAATTCCAAACTTACGCCACTTTTTAACTTCCTTAAGAATTGTTATGGACACAAATGGTCGCACCATAACGAATTCAATTTGCTCATATTTAACATAAAAGTCTGTCTATTTTTTATTACCGGTAAAAATACTCTATTTCGTCACTTCCTGCATTCACTTCCCTCATACAATAAAAAAAAACACTGTGTACAATTTCCTTGCGCCCACACGCATACATACATACCTATGAACAAAGATCACTATTTTCTAATTATTAAATGCACACACACACTCACCCGCGCTCATTCACAGGCGTTCGTCACAATCTCTGAAACGAAAAGCAAGGCGCATACGAAAATTTACACCGGCCAGGCCAATTATTCAATATTTGGCGTACGAGTATGTAGGTATTAATATGAAAACTTTGACTAGAACGGCGGCTTGATTGACTACTGGGGCTTCTCTGGCCTACAACTGTTTACATGTAAGCGCTTACACCAGCACAAAGTACTGCTGGGGATCTGGTACCGGCTGTATGTATGTATGTAGTGAGTGGTAGTGAATACCACCATATTTTTATACAGATATGTATGTATGGGAATTGTTGTTATAATTTTTGTTGGCGTTGATACTATTGCCGTTGCCACCACTTTGTTGCTTTGAGCGCCTCTATTACACTCTCCGCTCGTTAAATCTCATAGTCACTGAGTCGTATCGTGAATTCCGTGCTGCCGGCCTAGCCTCTTCACGCCAGCCTGCGCCTGCCTGCCTTGATGGCTGGCTAGTTGTTAGTTTAGCATACCGCCTGCCCTTCCCACCGCTCAGCCCACATTACACCGTTGCGTCGATCTAGCAATCTAGCTCTAGCTATCTACCGATCTGCCTGTTTGCCTTGCCCTATTGCGTGCTGTTTTTCGAGTCTGTTTTTCGCCTCACATTCCACTCTTGCATCTTCTCAATTACTTCCTCTCGACTGTTGGTTAGACCCATACTAATATACATCCACAAGTATACTTACAGATATGTATGCTACGTACGATTGCCTGTTTTTATCAACATTCACAACAAATGCTAGCGCAAGCAGCAAGGGTGGGACGGGAGGAGCCACGAAAGCTAAACGTATGCGACAAACGAAGTGAGTTGTGTCGACGGCGAACGCATTGGTTTCGTCTCAGTCGCCGCCACTATTGCTGCCGTCACAAGTTCCTAGGCACTGTGATGATCGTCCGGATTTATCGTCGTCGTCGTTGTTGTCCCTCGTAATAACAGCTAGAGAATAGAAGGAAAGTATCAGCACATGACTTTGCCTATGTTGTGTGTGTGTACGTGTGTATGTATTTATGTGGCGATGTGTGTATGACAGTCTAAACAACTTATACGCCTGGCTGTGCCGCGCCAATAGCCCTTGTCGTCCTCAAGCTTTCACGATCCAGCTAATGTGTCTGCTTCTGCGTGTATGTGTGACTGACTGTCGTTTGTTACGACATTCATCCTCCACGAAAATCTATTTACATACATACATACATACATATGTAGATATATATGTTTGTATGCCATTTGCTTGCGAGTGTGTAAGTTCGCCTTGAATGCCTTGCATGAGGCAACACTTTGCAGTTCACGACGAATGCATAATACAATAGACGACACGATAGACGAATAGATAGAGTCATAGATGCTAACACTGTATGCCGGCGCGAAAAAAGATAAACCAAAACCGTAATGATTGAAGTACGATGGCCATGTGAGACTGACAATAACAAAAACAGCAACAATAAGTGAGAAATGTCTTCAAAACAACAATGTCATTAGTACCTGACGGATATTAGATACTTATGACTAACCACATGCTCACACACATACAAACATACACACATATACATATACTTACATGCATTTATTCATGCATGTAGGTGTATTAATGTTCCAGCTTATACTTTGCCTTTAGTCAAAGCTTTTTCTGGCTCAAATACGCCTGTTGATCGCTGCCTACGTGTAAAGGAATTTTTCCTCACGAATAGTTGAATAGTTGAAATAAGCGAGTACATCAACAAAAAACACAAGCGCCCCAATAACAGTCCAACCTTTGGAGTAGACAAGAGCGAAAGGTATTGCTAGCATATCTATGCTCACGCTCCCGCCAAGCAAGCGCTGTTTCTCCACCAAAACTTTATACTCAGCAGTAATGAGCGCCGCGGAGAGCGCAATTTTTGGGTTCTCGTGATCCACCAGCCCATTTCAGCCATAAACAGCTGCGACATCGAAAAGTCAATTAGCTTTTTGGTGCACCATTGTATTTGTAGATGTTTATGTATGTAAATATGTATATACAGGTGTATATCTCATCTCAAAGCCCATTAGAAAAGGAAGTGGGGAAGCTAGAATGAAATACAAACTGATGTAGGAAGCAAACCTCAATAGCCAGGGTATTAGAAAATGACTTCAAGACTGTCTAGTATATGGCTGAGAATGGAAACTTTCATGTTTCGTCTGAGTAAATTTCAATCTCAATTTATGTATATACATACATAAATACAAGTACATATGTGAGCATGTGTGATTTAAGTTACTAAAGAAGTACACCCTAAGCTAATATAAAAAGGCTACAAAACGGAAACAAGAATTAATACTCAAACCAGAAATATATTTTTAAGATCATTGTAACAACAACAACAATTCGTTTATTTTATTACTTTTTATTAAATTATCTTAATTCTACTTAAGTATTAAGGCTAAACTAGATATTTGAGATAAGTTTATGCTCCCATGTATGTAACTTTTTTGTTACTATTAGTCTAGTTACATAGACCTAATTATTCACCATTTTTTTACTTTGTTCCTTAAAATGTCCAAATATGCATATCTGTTTATAGTGGATTCAATAAATTCAAAGTTGTCTACCCCTCCGGCTGCTATACATCTCCACATCATCACACCTCCACCACCTTGTTGTACAGTAGGTAGCAAATTTTTTTCCGAAACTCTGGTAGCATATATATTTATGCATTGATTTACGAAAGCGGCACGTTTTCATCCGTTTACCAAAGAGATAGATGGTTTTTTCCGAGCAACACGTTCGTGATACCCTGTTTTCTTCAAATTCCTCTGGCGGTGGAAGAACTTAAGGCCTTAAGGAATATCGTAGATCATCTAGGACGCAGTTACCCTAGCCTTTGCCTTCTCTTTATGTAAGCTTAACAAAACGTTCAGATCTTGGTAACGTTAGCATCTTAGCTTACTGAGAGCAAATAGACCAAATTTACATACATATGTATGTTAGTGGATCGCAACCCTATTTAGTTCAGAAGGAGACAAACTATGTATGTCCATGTATATATGTACATAGGTTTATACAAAAATCACTATAAACTTTACACACATTTGTGTAAATACATAAGTATATACCGAAGTATGTTAACCAACTCAAGCACATCTTTAGCCAAGCCTTGGAGAAATGATCCTACAAGTGAGTACATACATATGGAAGCTAGAGACTCTAGGCTCAAAAGCTTTTCATTTACAAAATACATTAACACAACACAAATACAAGATAGAGTTAAAATGTGAAATTGCCAGAAGAAAGGTTTAAAAATAGATTGGAAACGTCAGCTTGCAACGCTTTTATCTTCTAAAGAATTTAATTGAATTATGAATGGTGCGGCAAACTGAGAAACTCTACAAAAAATCAGAGACATAAAGTACGGAAGAGAGAGAGGGATTGGCGAGCAAATGAAACTCAATTGTGGTCTTCACGCGGAGCTTTCAGGCATATCGTCAGCAAAGAACGTACATACATATGTACAAATGTATAAATATATGTATAAACCAGATTAGACGTTCTCTGCGGCAAGTGCATGCGAATGGGGTTATAAAAGAAACAAATAATGACAACAACATTAAAAGAATGCGATAGCTAGGAATATAAAAATGTGAATGCGAATGTGTATAGTGTTTAGCAGTTAACGGTACGAAGGGTATTAAGAGTAAAACAGAGATGCAGCGAAACTGAGAGAGAACTAATGGGATGGTGAGCGGAGAGCGTTAGCGAGAAAAGCAACAGCAAAGCACAGCATATACATAGTATAAAAACGAATAAGAATGATTGGGCAAGCACTCGTCTAAGTTCTCTATCATATACCACCCTTCTCTTGGGTGGCTCTCACATTGCGAGCTAGCAAAAAAGTAATAACACTGCAGACCTCTAAGCACAACAAAATTTGTGAGAGCGTAGGGAATGCCACGCTTCAGCTAGCGCGCTGTTGCTCCTCAGCTATCTCTCCTTCTTTCACACATACGCATTCATCAAAGATAGCGCAGCAGGAAAAGCAGAGCAGCGCGCTAAAATGTTAACGCAATTATTGTTGTGCTTCGTATTGGGGTTCTGCTTGGCTATTATTTGTATTACCGTGGTTGGTGTGTGCGCTTTGTAGGATGTCTATGCGTCGCTATGTCATGCCGTTTACTACGTATTTGTTTAACTGCTTTACTATTTCGAAAGACGGGACAAAGGCGTAGAGAAAGAGCGGCAGCGTTGAAATGAAAGCGCGTAGGATTGATTGGTGGCGCTGGTGCTGCTGCTGCTGCTGCTGCTGCTGCGAAGGAGAACAACAAAAGGCAACAGGCAATTGTTTGCTGGCAGTCAAGTCAGCAGAAGTGACTTTTTGACTTCGACACACATTGCTATCTACAAATATACCTTGTTGCTTGCGTGGCAATTCGTGTGTGTATGAAGTTGTGAGTTTGTGTGCTTGCATTAATTTCCCTTTTTGAGAGGACTGAGGATCGTGCTGTTGCCGCCGGTATAGCCTATCGCTTCTTTCTCCTCTTTCCGTTTCGTAAAGTTTCGTCATCTGTTGCTGTGTTGGCCGCTACCGCTGCTGCTGGCTGCCATCGTCACTGTTGCTTCGTTGCGCTTGTTCGCCAGGCTCACTAAGCAGTATGAATTTAGTCGCCGTGTCTTATAGTGGTGTTGTTGGTCCAGTATACGCGTGTGTGTTGATTAATTAAGGGGAATAGCAGTAAGTGATTAAGAAAAAGTAAAAAAAACATAATTTCTGCTACATTTACTATTATTACATATGCAATTTCACGCAATACGATAACGTTACAACACATGCTTGATAATGTCGACGTAAAAGTGTTTGTGAGAAATAAACAAAAATATTGAAAACGAAATATTTGTCTATGTGGTGTTAAAATAGCCTTTCGGTTGCGGAAAAATCACGGAACTGTTGGTGTTTTCTAATAGTGTGAAATTTATGAAGGGCTTTAGAGCTTGGTGAATGTCAACGTTTCGACGAAAATACTGCTACAACGTAAGTTAAAGAAATTCTAAATCAAGCGTTAAATTAATAAAGCAATAGTTCAATTTTTACGGTTTCATAAAATAGGCTAACTTTAAAAGTGCTTGAACATACTACCTATATATGTATGTATGTACATATATGCACATGTGTGCTTAAATGTATATAACTTTGTGCATAAATTGTTTATAAATATTTCGCGCATTCGCACAAATTTAAATAAACTAAAATGTCAGGAAAAGTGAAAATCAAATAAAAAATAATATATATAAATTTCTTTAAAATTTAATACTTCCGCTTATTAAGGCATTTCTACAAGATTTTATTATATTCTGTAAAAGAATTTTTGCCTTTCTTAGTGCCTGCGTGTCACTCCCTTCACAAAAGCACACGAATCATTTACCTCACATGGGAAAAACACGCACACATGTAAATCTTACATGGGGTCGCCCTTTTTCTGATACCCGAAAGCAACAGGCGAAAGCAGCGCTGCTCCCGAAAGCAGCGCACAACAACAAAACTAAAAGTATTTACCCTCTTCAATAAATGTCTAAACTGCGAGGGGCAATAGTTTAGTTTTATGTTCCTCACATACTGCCACACAAACACCTGAATGGTGCGAAAGTTAAAAGTCGTCCCCAACGTACCCCCTACGTTAATCCTCAAAAGGGGTTGCATACACACAAACAACTTGTATGTGCAAATGCATATACATATATTTATATAAATAATGTGTGCCAAGCGTATATGTTTGTATGTACTAATATGTATTTGTGAACCTGAATGTATAGCTACAAGTTTATGTCTGATCACCAAGCGCTTTTGTAGCCTGCGCGTATGAGTAACTCACGATCAGCAAGCAAAAATTAAACAGACGAGTCCCAATCGCTAAACGAATACAATAATACTAGCAAAGCTATAGGGGCGGTAGCAGTGGTGGTTGGAAAAGATCAAGTTTTTTTTTTTTTGTTTGCTTTGACATCTCCTTCGCCTGTAGGACGTTGCTATTCACATGCAAACATAGCACTTTGTATGCATGCGTGTATGTATAGATATAAATGGGTGTATGAATGATCAGCTCATTCGCCTCGCCTTTTTTCCGTTGTTCGTGCCGCTTCGGTAATTCCCCTTCGTGTCCACGTCGGCAAATTGGGACGTCGGCGAGCATCGCTGAATATATTGAGTGTTTTTGTTGGCTAGTGGTTGGTGGTTGTGTTGACGGCAGCGCTGCTTTTTGTGGTATTGGTAAGCAGCGCAGGAGAGCCGTGACCAACAGGCATTCACATTTGGT